AAACTTATTTTCTCTGAACAAACAATGGATATTAAATTATTGAAATGAATTTATCTGATCTTTGACAGCGATAAGAGAGATGTTCAAGTTGAACAAACTTTCATTTTACAATTTTACAATTCAAATTTTAACTTTTTTCAGTTTCTTTTTTACCACTTAATTTTGGTTTATTTATAAATATAAAGCAAAAGAACAGTTTTTCTATCAAAACATAAAAATGCAATCTTTAATAGTTTTGCTTTTTTGTTATGATTTCAGAATATTTTTTGATAAAGTAGTCAATAGAAGCAATACGTTAGTTGCCAAACGAATAGTATTAATAAGCAGGCAGGCATTCAGTGAAGAAATTGAAATATATTTCACAGTAATTACTTTAGTACAAGTATTCGCAAACAAGAAAGTTGATAATAATGGGATTCTGAGTCTTATTACTCAACAAAATTCAGTACGACAAACAACAATTGTGATGACGAGTTTTTAATTTATACTGCAAGTTTTTCGCAATTTCAAGTTAGAACAAACCAAACATTCAGCATAAACTACACGGCAATTAATTTTTTGCTCTAGAAAAAGTTTTCGCATGAGAAAATTAGATGCAATCAGTAGATAACTAGATGTATTTCTACTATTATAAAGAAGTTTTAAATAAAGTCAAATGCAGATAACAATTTGAAAATGAAAGGTGGTTTCTAGCTACGTGAGCATTTGTACTGATGCATTTTGCAAAATTCGAATATGAAATCCAAAGAGTTGAGAGTATAAAACTCAGTAAAGAATAATTATATCGGATATGGAAGTAGTAAAATAAAGATATTTTATCCGAAAAGATTAAGAATCCCTTTTCTTTTGATATCATAAATACAATGGCAGTAATAACTATGGCAACAATATGGTACATGTAAATTATTCAACTCTGTAAGGTAATTTAGTGGCAAAGAGCTGGGATGGCAGGAGATATATATTTTGCGCATGCAAATGACAGAGCATTATACAAGATCATAATTCTAGCAGCAAAATTGAGTTTTGCTTTTCTGTAGAAATAATGAAACATTAGAATCAAAAAAAAAAAAAGTTGGATTTATTATTCATCTTATCCAACATTTATTCAGTTTTGAATTTATAATGCAATAGATTTAAATTGAAGTTAAAGCATTTTTGATAATAAAATTTCAATTCAATTAAGGTATTTTACAGTAAAATTTATATATGAAGTGTATATAAATTCAAATATGAATATGTGAATTTGAACCGAATTACTAAATAAACTCAGAAATAAAAAAATCCATTAAGGCTTGAATGAAAGTAAATTCAAGCACGAAAATATTCAAATTCAAAATCAAAAAAGAATCCTTTAAATGAAAAATTTTGATTAGAATCAAAGTTCATATCTATAAAAGTATTAAATGCAAAATAAAAATAAAAATTTAATGATTAAACATTACCAGGTTAGTCAACAAAATTAAATTTATAGCTATAAAATATTAACATAAAGATAAATTGAAAATTTAATAATGAAAATAATACAAAAATACTGAATAAAATGATATATCAAAAATATAAATAATATATACACGTTAATATTTTATAGGTATAAATTTAATTACCAAAAATATAATAATTATGTTTAAATATAAATAATAATCAAATATATACAACTAATTACTGCAATTTTTTTTGTTCATTCTTTTTTTTTCAAATTTTTTTGTTTTGTTTTTTCTTTTTGAGTACAGAAAATAACTGAAGAAATGTAATAAATATTTTACAATGATTAAAAAGCAAATAAGATGTGATAATAAATGTGAAATGAAACTGCGCGAGAAAAAGAGTTAGTATTAATTGTTGTCAAGCAATGAGGAATATGAATTATAGAACAGAGCAGAGATGATAACCAGTTCAGAGAAGAGTAGATACATAGATAGATAGATACATAGATAGATAGATAGATAGATAGATAGATAGATAACAATCAATCTGCAACACACTGCCATTTATTTTCCTTTTACGTTGTTTAATTCATTTACAAGTCATCTTTCTTGAAAGCTCAAAATGAGTCACTCACTGATCTTATCTACTCGTAACTTCCATTGTATGTGTGTGTTTATGGCATAATATTTGCCAACAAAATTACGTCATGGTATATTAAATACTATTTGTATGACAAATTTACTCAAATTATTGCTTTGATTACATTTGTATTACATATAACTATTCTATTCTTTCTATGCCAATTCCACTCTTTTTATAACTATTCTAAACTTATTATACATATTCTATTCTTTTTGTACCTATTCTATTCTTTTTATACATATTCTATTTTTTTTATAACTATTCTATTCCTTTTATTCAATATGATTGACTATACTTTTTTTCAGTGCCAAAAGTTATTTATTGCTTAATAATTGATTAAAATTTTGCTTTAGTCAACTATGGCTTTTTGAAAAATTTCAGTTTATTCACTTTCTAAAATATTCTAAAATATTCAGACATAATTTAGGATTAATATTGCATGTGGCAATTTTTTTTATTACACATTTTGAGTTTTTTCTTTTTCAATTCAATTTTGATCTTATCAAAATGACAAAAGTATTACTCATTTTACATTAATGCAAATAATCTCTCAATTACTGCTTCACAAATTATTGAATAAACCGCAAAAAAAATTCTTCAAAGAATTGAATGCTTCTTTTTTAATTCACTGATTCTCAGCAGCAATGACGTGGAATCTGAATCGAAATACTTTAAGTTTATTCAGGCTTGAATTAGGAATACATACATACATAAACACGGTTAAATCTAATCTGAAACAGAACACATAGATATGTTTTTATTCATTTCTTTTATCGAATAAATTCATACATAATCAAAATATACTGAATATAAAAAGAAAAAGCATAAACACAAAGGGTCCGTAGTAATTCAAAGTAAACAAACAAACATAGAGATTGCTTTGCAGTTACATTCAACACTCTAATATGGCAACTTATATTGCTTTGTGACAGATAGTTTGTTAAATAGAATCACAAGGCCATTTTAAATTTAATTCAATAATTAATGAATTCAGATAAAAATAAAAGAAGTACTGATTTTCTTTGAAAAAATTTGCGAAGAGATGTGGTGAAATGGGTGAGCAGAAGTAAAAAAAGCAAAAAAACCTCAGAATGAGACCAAATAACTCCTAGAGGCTAACTTGGGACTTATAAAAGCCTATAGGCCTAATTAGGCTTGACAATCTTTACAAAAACAATACCACTCGTTATTTGATAGAAATGAGGAAGGATAACATAGTTCTTAATTATGCAATCCAATGAGTACAGTGCAATGATAACAATATTATCAAAAAGTCCTAAATAATTGTTTGGTCCAATAATTAACTGATAAACCGTTTAAGACTCAAAAACTGAAAATTCGTTTTGTTTGAAAAACTCATTTGATGCAATAATATCTTTCATTTTTGTGGTT